CCTGCCCCAGCTGCTCCGTCGTGGTTGCGGCACGTGGCTGCCCTGTGCAGCGTCGTCCTGCCCCACAGCCAGAGCCGGTCCTGCTGGGTGTCAGGGGATGGAGGAGCTGTGGCTGCCCTCCCGGTGTTGCCAGGAGAGTATCGGTCAGCAAGAAGAACACGGTGTGGTGTGGTGCTGGGGCTGGTGGGCAGCGCTACTACGACAGACACAGCTCCCACCGCTGGCTTTACCGCTTCTGACGGGTTCCCAGAGCAGCCAAAACATGGGAACTGTGCAAGAGCGCTGCTGCCGTATGAGGCCGTGCGGTGCCGTGGGAGGCTGTGCAGTGCTGTAGGGCGCTGTGCTGGGCCACGCCGTGCTGCAGGACAAGGCCGGGCAGTGCTGTGGCTGGAAGCGGTGGCTGCAGATGCCCTGGCACCGCTCCCGCGGCGATAGCTCTGGCCAGAGCCACCTGGGCTACAATCCCTGCCCACTCCCACCCACAGCTGCGGCTGGCTGGGAGTGCCCAAAAGCCCCAGGAGTGCCCAAAAGCCCTGTCTGTGCCTGGGTGTTACTTGCCCTGGGGCTTCTGTGTCTGCAGCAGGCCATAGGCAGCCCTGCCTGGGGAAAGAGCAGTGCCCCAGCTTGGCTCGGGGGCCGCCAGACAGGCTGTAACCTGCAGCAGCAGCATCCTTTGCGGTGGGGTGTGCCCCTCATTTGCACAAGGGCATGCGTGAGTTACTGCTTTTTTGCTCCAGGTTGCATCGAGGTGAGTGGGAGCAGCACGAATCTTACGTGGAGCGTTGTTAGAATTTGCCCCTCTGCACGGGAGCTGCTTTGGGTGGTGAAGCTGTTGTGGGGCTGGGGGTGGGGGGAGCCACTGGTGGCAGCACCCCGCAGCTCAGGACTGGGGCAGCAGAAATGCATTAACTTAACTCCAGCCAAATTTTGTAATAAACCCTAAACCAAACCCCCCAACCCCCCCAGTGCCCAGCAAACGCAAAGATCAGTTGAAGTCTGCGGGTGCCGTCAGGATAACACAGCTTGGCTCTGACAAGAGGATGTTTTAACCCCCGTCCCCCCCAGTATAAATTCAAACCACTGAAACAGCTGTAGGTGAA